TCTTTCCTTCTGTAACTCTGATAACATACGTTAAACCTGTTTCATATTTTCCAATCTTTGTCTCTCTGTGTTACATTCTGGTAATCTATACAGAATTTTGTCCAAATGGATTTGGAAAAGAACCAAATAGAGCATCTAGAAATGAAAATGAATTTTTAAAATCCAATAGGTGGGTTTAACAGAATATTAGACACAGCTAAGGAGAGACTTTTAAAACTAGAATATAGGTTGGAATGTTTGCTTCTGCTGAGTAACTTAGGGACAGTACCAGTTCAGGGCCATGTTAAACTAAATTCTCAGCTTAAAGTTTTTTTGACCAGTGTGATTTGTGCTGCAAAACTTTGTAAAACTCACTGACTTGTGGTTATAAATTATCAGGGGCAAATTTTCCCCATCTCCATTCAGTGCCGAGGTTCAAAACAGGCATTCTTCCTTAACCCCCTTGGTGGGGTTGGAGTAGGAGTGCTTTATTTCAAGTTCACTGTTACACTGAGGGGTAGCTTTTTGGGATGTCAGCTTTATGGGTTTGACCCTTCTTCTTGAGCAAGCTCTGGACTTCCTTCTCTATCCCCCTTGTGGATTGGAAAGTGAAGCTCTGGGTTTCTGCCTTCACTTGGATGTTACAAGTTTTGCCTAAGTTTATTAGTCTATTTCAGTAGGCAAGCACTTAGTCTTTCATGCTGCCAGAAATGAACAGGTGCTTAACTTAAACTTTCTTATATTCTTGACAACATTGTCCCCTTAACATTGTCGCTGAAGATCCATACCTGAGAGTCCTGGGCATGCTGAGATAGAAGCGTGTGGGGTTTGGGCAGCAGCCCTTCACCTTCCTCCTAGTATCATGAATGCCTTTTTGAGAATAAAGATAGAAATTATGTTGGCACGATCTAAGGTTACCAGCCTATAGGTGGATAGTAAGTTTTTCATTTAGAAAGTAGTTTTGAATCCCAACTTCGCATGAATTTCTTCTCCTATTTTTTTTTTAAGATTTTTAGTTTTGTTTTTTTTTAATTAATTTATTTTTATTTTTGGCTGCGTTGGGTCTTCGTTGCTATGCACGGGCTTTCTCTCTACTTGGGGCGAGCGGGGGCTACTCTTCGTTGCGGTGCGCGGGCCTCTCATTGCGGTGGCTTCTCTTGTTGTGGAGCACGGGCTCTAGGCGCGCGGGCCTCAGTAGTTGTGGCTCACAGGCTCTAGAGCTCAGGCTCAATAGTTGTGGCGTACGGACTTAGTTGCTCTGCGGCATGTGGGATCTTCCCAGACCAGGCCTTGAACCCATGTCCCCTGCATTGACAGGCAGATTCTCAACCGCTGTGCCACCAGGGAAGCCCTCTTCTCATATATGTTTATATGTTGGCTATATTTGACACTTAAATGATTCTTTGGTAATGTTACAATATATTTGTATTGACCAGGACTTGAGTTGTTCCTTTGAGAAGGGCACTTAATAATCATTTGCTTCACTTTTCCCGGAAGATTCCTCTCTCTGTGGGAGAAGTGGCATTCAGTTTCATCAGGCGTGCCACTGCTGGTACACAGCTAACACCACTTCTAATGCAGCAGGCATTGCACTTTCTGCCATATAACATTACAACAACCCATGAGATCAAGAGTATTGTAATTCCATTTTAATCATGGGAAAATGGAGGCTTAAAAAGGCAGACAACTTGTCCAAGGGTACCCAGCTGGGAACTGGAAACTAGGACTCAAATCTAAAGAGTTTAGCTCTCGATTCCTTGCTCTTCCACTTACCCTGTCTTGCTTCCCTGAGGAACGTGACACACGTTTTACAAATGTGTAGGTGTGATAGGTGTATAAAAATCTTAGTTTTGTCACAGAAGTCTCTGTGGCCTTAGTAGAGATTCTTAGCTTATCTTCCTGTCACATCTGATGCTGTTAACAGGTTTGTCCCTGAAACGTGTGTGTAAAGTGAAAGGTGGTAACCCTCGGTCATCCCATGGAGTTAGGAGCTGCACACTGCGCTAGCGGGTCGCTGGCCACACAGCTACGTGCCAAGAGGCTTCTACGCAGAAAGAGCTGAGGCCCTAGTGCATGAGACGGGATGCCGACAGTGTGTGGTGTGGATGGTGGGGCAAGGCCGGAGGAGCACGAGCGCCACTGACCAGGAAGATGTAAGGAGGCTCAGAGAACATATGTGGGAGAATGGGGTGGCAAGTGTACTGGAGAAGGTGCACATGCACAGCATGTGAGTCTAGTGCCCGAGCAGCAGCGTGCCCCTGGGAGAGGTGGGCAGGAGCCACGTCCTGCAGAACCCTACCCACCGGGAGAGCTTCTCCAACTTGCCTGGGCTCCCCGCTCCCATGTTTCCCATTCACCAGGTCTGCGCAGGGGCCCTGAGAACATCTCAGACAAGTTCCCAGTGTTGCTGCTGCTGCCAGGCTGGGACCCACACCTTGAGAAGCACTGCCTGGAGGGACCACCCATGGGTGAAGGACAGGGCCATGCCGAGCCAAGCCAGCTCGCGTCCTGCTCCCAGCTCCGCATCCAAGATGCAGACCAGATGATGTGCTGTTCCTTCTTCAGCTAAGGTAGGTAGAAACTTGCAAAAGTAACTTTACCAAGAAAGTAAGGAGGCCCTTAAATGGAAGGACCTAAAAAGTGTCGTCACTTACCCAAAAGTCACTTAGGCATCCTCACAGGGGTCCTCGTTTGCTCCACAAACACCTGAGCACCTACTGTGTGCTGTTACTCCGCAAGGCACGTGGAGCGGCAGCAGGTGACGAGGCCCCCGCAGGCCTCGCCTTCTGTCCACTAGCTATTTAAACGTACGTAAGGTTAGAAGTTCTGTTCTTCAGTCGCACTGGCCACATTTCAGGGCTCAGTCCCTCTGTGTATCTAGCAGCACTGTACTGGGTGATGCGGTACAGAATACCCCCTCAGCACAGAAAGTGTTCTGCTGAGCGCTGCTGCTCGAACAGGCTGAGCTGGCCCTGGAGGAGCAGAGTCAGGTCTGGCGAGTTGTCGCGGGCAGACCTCATCCAGCCTAGGCACTGGTGACAGGGTGGCAGTGGGAGACAGGCCAGAAGAGGAGCAGTGTCTCAGTTCTCTTCCTTCAGTGCCACAAGCTCTCGTGTGCCCCTCCACAAATCCCTTTTATTTAGCGCTCCTGAGCGTGACCCATTGAAACAGAAGGAGAACTGCACAGCAGAAAGACGTCAGCAGGCACTCCCCAAGGTCCCCAGCCCCCAGAGAGACCTACAGCACCCGTGGACACTGAAGGTTCTTGTTAGTCCCTGCAGTGAAGGAACCTTGACAGTTGTTTAAGGTAGGCCTCCTGAACTGCCATGACCATGTAATTCAAGCTGCTAGTGATATCCTTCTGGATCTTTCTTTGAGGAAAGCAGCATAGAACATACTTTCTGTTTTGTTTTGCAATGTTTATTTGAAAAGCCCTTTGTCAGAATGTGGAGGTGAGAGCTGCTTGCTCCATCTCTGAAAGGCCCATGGTGGCCCTGGCGGTCTCGTCCTCCCCCCTGGCCCGGGCATCCCCACGCCTCCTGCCAACACAGAACCGCGCACAGAGAACAGGCACGCGAGGGGAGCAACATGTTCTTTTATTGATGCAAGTACGTCCAGTCACACCAACAGCTGACATCCTTTATTATTATAAAGTACAGCTTTATACGCAGAGTTCATCTCGAAATACCAAAACATCATAGGGTATGTATCAAATTGGGAAAATAAAGTAGCAAATGTAGCACTGTGTCAGGTCGGTACTAGAACTGATGACCAAGTGAAGCGCACACTGATGTGAAAGCTCCTTAACACATGGACAGAAAAGGTTCTAACATTGTATTCCAAATATATATTCTCAAGTTTTAAACCTTTCTGTATCTCAAATACATAAACAAAGCAATATGTACTGTCAATATACAATATGTACTATCTAGAACGTCTGGAAAGTGCAAAAACACTGTGACAATACAGTGTAAATATCCTTGCTCCACCCTGGGCTGAGGGAGACATCAGCAGCGGATCATGGAGCCACCTCCCCCTGAGGCCTCGCCTTCACATCTCCAGGCTCTCCTAGGAGTTTTGGGAATTAGCAACTAACTGTCCTTACCCAGGCCTGCCAGCTGGAGGCTCTGGCGGAAGCCAGCCATGTGGAGAGAAACAGGGTGAGTAGTTCCAAATCTGCTTGGATGGAATGACAGCCCCGCCATGAGGGAGATACAGTCAGCATGGATTGCCCATTTCTGGCCTTGGAGGGAGCAGGGCTGTCGCTGTCCCACGGCCGGGAAGTCAGAAAATGGAGAGTACTCCTCGAGTTCGGGTGTGGAAAATACCTCCAAATGTTGGGCAGCTTTACGTGAGTGGGCTCCAGCAGGTACTGGCCTGGCTAACCTTCCATGTTTCACATTCCGTTAGGGGAGCCCAGTCCTCCACCCAGAGGGAAGGAGGATACGGATTTGTAAGTTGCTCTTTTTGACTTTGTACTTGAGTTTCAAGATGGCTTTATATGTCCCCATCCTTAATTGTACTTCGTATTCGCTTCATTACAGCTAAGTAATATGTCAAAGTTACAGCCTGGAAAACGGACAACCCCATGACTCCCTCCTCACGTTATTTTAGATTTTCTCTTTTCCTAAAATGAAGGTGAAGAACAATTTGCCAGACATCTTCCAACAGAAAATACGCTGCCAGGTGTCCCCCTGCCCTCCCCCCAACCCCCATAAATCCCTGATAAAGGAAAATGAAAATGTAAACTTTGGAAAGCCCGTAGTCAAGGTTCACTTCTGGAAGTACACAAATGAGACCTCCGGGCCACCCGAGCCCTTCTTGCCAGAACCTTGTGGGCCTGCGCTTTGAGGGCAGAGCTTCCCCGGTGCCTCCAGCGGCACTGGCTGCAGGCGAGAACGGGCCCGCCAGAACCCTCTAAGGCACTCACCCCGACATCAGAGACACTGGCTGGAAAGGAGGCAGGGCTCACGTTGGTTTTGGTTGGGTTTTTTTAAATATTTTTTTGTAAGATGTTTGTTTGTTAATAATCAAAAGTAGAAAATAAAAATCTACATTTCATTAGAATAAGATGTTATCATGGATGCCATCTCCCATGATACTCTTTCCCCACCCCTCCCCAAAGCAGGGCCCTGCCCTGTCATAAACAAAAAGCTTTAAGTGCCAAAGGTTGATGCATGAAATAATTACTTCTTTTTTTTTTCATAAAAGTTAGTTATGTACAAAACGGACCCCAACCAGTGAGGCCTCATCTCAACCCATTATCACTCAAGATTAAAACTCAGTACGTAGGTGTGCTTAATCCCAGCGTCTGCAGGCTGCATCCGTGCCTTCAGGCTCTGTTAAGGAGAGTGGTCCTAAAGGTGAGCAGGGAACAAGGAAGTGGTCAGGCGGCCGGCAGGCCCTTCCCCTGAGCAAGCAGAGGGCAGGCTTGGGCTACTAGGGGAAGGCCCGGCTGCCTAGAACCGCCCACTGAGGGAGGGGTCAGGGACATTCAAACCCCCAAGTCCTCATCCTGCACCGGGGATGCCTTCCTCTCCCCAGTCTGCAGAGAGGTGCCCTCGGCCACCTTTCAAAAGGGCAGACCCATCATGCTCCCCCCCACCCCGTCCTTTCCCTTCCTTGTAGACTCTGGTATGGGGCTGGTCTTGGGGGCTCACCGGACTGTTGCTGGAGTTCTCCTACCTGAGGGTCTTCCAGCTGTCCTTTTCCATGTGGTTCTCGGGACCTTCACTTTCAAAGGAGGCGATGAAGAGAGCTGAGAGACGAGAAGCCCCGCAGAAGCCATGTCCACACCCGGTCAGTCTGCCTCCCACCCCGGTTATCCCTTCTCAAACTCTCCCTCCCAGGGTGGAGCGAGGCCCGGGAACGATCTCCTAAACCAAGGGGGCAGCAACTTCGGGCCTCGGCTGGTCCACAGGGCTCTGCTGCATGGGGTTCCTGGCAACCTGCCTGGGGACTCTGAGACGTTTCCTGGTTCTGCAGCACTGGCCTGACCACGTACTGGCTCTCTCAAGTGGCCTCGGGAGCCTGATCTTTTCTTGTCCTTATCCTTCACCTGCCATACACCCACGGCCCACCCTCATGCACTCAGCCCTGTGAGCTGAGCTTCCCCAGCGTAGCATGGGAATAACAACCCCGGGAGGGCACCCTGCACGAGTCAGGGTGACCTCCACAGTGTGCAGAAGTGGACCTCACCTTCCTCGCTGTAGATGGGAGCCGTCAGCAGGTAACTCTGAATCTTCTTGTCCTTCTCGAAGGGACACTCTACCTGTGTCCATGTCATGAACTCATGGATCTGTCTGGAGATGTCCCAAAATTTCTGAAGGGGCAGAAGACCAACTGGATGTTCATTTGTCACCTTAAGCTTGAAAACCCTGGTTAGGGCAGGGGACGTAGGCTCTGGCTTCGGTCGGCTGATCATTTCCCTGGTCCCAGAGAGATTGGACGGTAGCCCTACAAAGCTGACTCCGTAGCCACGGAAGCACTCTGTACAACAACAGAGCCAGCCGGTGTCTCCAAGGCCATTCAGTCCTGCCCTCTGCCTGAGCCATCGGGCTGCAGCCAGGTCTGTGCTTCTGCTGTGCAGGACCCCCAAGAAGCCCCTCATCTGTGACTCCAGGCTGAGGCAGGCATCCCAAACACACCCAGCACAGCACCACCAACCAGAACACCCCAGGATCTCACTCGGGGGCCCTGTGGCTCCTAGCACTGTAACCAGATAATCCACCCAGAACTGGGGCCACCCTCATACCTTGAGGTCACGGCACCCATGACCCACCCTGGAGCCTTCAGTCCTAAAAGGCCCTTCTGCCACAGGGCCTCGGCCTGGCAGCTCTCATGGCACAGACAGATGCTGCCTGTCCTAAAGCAAGGCCAGGAAGTCTGCCCTACCCTGTGCTGGGACAGCCTGGCCCCTTCCCCTCAGACCACAATGGGGCTGAGCTGACCTTGAAGTTAATGTGTCCATTGGGCAGGTGGTTGGTGTGGATTTTGTGCAGGAAGTAGATGTCCTTAACGAAGAGGTTGAACACAGGGATGACGATCTTCTCCCGGCTGCTGTTGGCCATCTGGGATCTCTGTGTGGCCCCCTGCAGGGCTGTGCGGTAGTTGCAGAAGTTGCTGGATGGGTCCATGTGGTGCTGTGGGCAGACGGGAGGATGTGGTGGGCACTGCTCCCCCTGCACCCCTCAGAACTGCTCAGGAGGCCCCTTTGCAGGAAACAGCTCGGGGTGGCCCTGTACCGTCACCAGAAGAGGCCTCCCCTCCAGGAGTGAGCACTGGGGAAGGAAGCCCAGAGGCACGTGTCTGAGCACTGGGCTGGGGCTTTCTGGCTTTGGGTCCAGGCGTCACGGGGCAAGCTGTAGAGAAATCTTGAAGCTCACGCACACCTCCTCCCTGCCCTGCCAAGTCTGGGTCTCCCCTCCTTCCTTTCAAAACCTTCCTTTGCCCTTGTGCTTTCACAGAGACCTCCCAAACCTGAGCAGCTCCACAAGACACACACTTGCAAAAACTGGATTCTCTGATCAAATACATCTGGTCAAGGCTGTAGACTCGCCTGTCAGCCTCTGGGCCCCCGAGACGGTCCGGAACCATGGAAGTCGAACGAGGAAAAGGCCAGTCTCTGCTCGGTCGGCACTGCCCAACCTGGGGCTGTCGGCCTGCTTTTGCCGACAAACTCCTTGCTGATCTTTCCCCTGAGCTTTGCTTTAGGCGATGCCAGATCTGACTCAAGTCCCAAGGGCCGAGGAGAGCATGGGCTACCTGCCTCCTGGGGGCGCCGCGGCCAGGTCAGCGGACACGCCCAACATCAGACGGCACTTGGGGCAGCAGGCCCTCAGCAAGGGGCCAGTGCGTGATGGGACGCCCGGCCCTCCTCAGGCTGACTCGGGACACGACGGGGTGCCTACCTCTAAGACGTCGAACTTGGCCGTCTTGACTTTGGACCAGGTTTTCTTCAGCCTCGCCACAGGACTGAGGTTCATGCCAGCTGCAGGGGGCGACAGCTAGGGTCAGGGCGGGGGGAGATGGGCCACACCGTGCTGGAGGGGGCGCCCCCGGGGCCCGCACACTCACAGATGATGGCCATCATGGAGTTGAAGTTCCCGATGTTGAAGCACTCTCGGGCCACGTCGATGAAGAACTCCAGCATGCGAGTCCGATGCTTCTTCTTCACCACCTGGAGGGCGGCCAGACCGCTCAGCGCGGTCCCCGCCGGGGGTCGTCCCCTCCCGCGCCAGCCCCCGAAGGGGCAGTGCCCTGGGCCCAGGGAGGGGCCTCCCCAGCAGGGAGCTGCCCTGGGCCCTCAGAGCTGTCAGGCCGGGACGGACGGAGAACCCCCGGGAGGGATTCTCGCAGGCTGCAGAGGCAGGAAATGCAGCCATGGCATTTTCGATGCGGGGCAGAGGGGCAGAGGGGCAGGAGGGCAGGCTGAGGGGACCAAGGGAGACCCAGATGAGCTGGCAGGCCATGCTGGGCACAGGATGCCTCCCCGGATGGGTCTCTGTTGTAATTTAAGGCATTACTCTTGGGGTTTGGCGCTCCCAGGGCCCTGGCAATAAAAGCTTCCTGTCTCCACTTGCAAAGTTCCGTCCCCTGCGGGGTACAGGGGTCAGAGCCCCAGGCGGCACGGTGGGGTCGGGAGGAGACGGGGCCGGCCCTGCTGCTGTGTGCGCCACGCGGCACTTACCCGGCACACCTCGGTGGCCACCAGCATGCTGAGGCAGTTGAACCAGTTGTCGTAGGCCTCCAGGCTGTAGGTCTTAATCAGGTCCCCTCGGCACTGTGGGGACACAGTAGGTCACAGGGAGCCCGAGGACCCTGCCCGTAGCTGCTGCCCCAGCCCCACCCTCAGAAGGAGCTGTGGCCAGAGGAGGAGGGGGGCGGCTGCTGGACTGGCCCCCTGGGCCTGCCCGGGTCTCCCAGGATGCCCCCACCCGGCCCTCCAGGGCTCCCCGGCAGCATGCAGCACCCTGCGTGGCCGTCCACCAAGCCCTGGGGCAGGCGCTGGGAGGCCAGACCTACGTGTGTCAGGTTGTGAGGCCCGACACTCCGGAGGCGCTCAGGCGTCTGGGCGAGGCCCCCGCACCCTCCCCCCGCCACCCTGGAGCACGCCGCAGCCCCTCACCCTATGCTTGTCCCGAGAGTCCATGTGGCTGACGATCTGCATCAGGTCCTCAGGGTGGATGCTGCTGACCCTCTCCTGGGTGGAACGGGGAGAGAGCCCAGGAGGAGTGACAAGCCGGCCACCCTCAGGCAGGCCCCACACGCAGCGTGGAGGGCGGGTCGAGAGCAGCAGTCACGACCTCCCTGCAGGCGTGCCCCTCAGCCACGCCCCTCCTCGATCAGACCACCCAGACAGTGGGCAGGCCCCCCAGGTGTACCCCAGGGTCTGGAAGGCCCTCCCCTGGGAGGCGAGAGCCTCAGCAGTGGCTGCTATGTGCAGGGCCCCTGCCCAGCCCGGGCACAGGCAGGATGAGGGGACGGGGTGGGGAGAGCTGTCCCCCTTGAAACCCTTCACCTCTTCCCGAGCCGCTCCTCCATCCTGAGACCACTGCAGTCCCCATCGCCCCTGCCCCTCCCGTTAACATGGGGCTGCTGTGATCCTGGGGACCCAGGTACCAAGAAACCCTCTGCTCAGGTGGACACACAGCCGCCAGAGGCAGCGCTTGGGGCTGCCAAGCGGGCTTCCCGACACCCCTGTCCGGCTGGCAGGGGAAGGCCCTGTGGTGCCATGTTGGGAAGGTGCCGGCGTGAGCATCAGTGAACACGCCCCAGCCCGTCCTGGGAAGGGCGCACTGCAGCACTGACCAGCTCGATGTGAGTCAACTGCTGGGCCAACACCAGGGGGTCGCAGCACACGCCCAGGATGTCCTTCTGTGCGGCTGGCGGCTTGGCCTTGAGGATGGGCCCCTTGTCCATGGCCGGTGAGCGGAGCTTCTCACGCAGCTCCTGAAGCTGGCTCCGGGCAGCCAGGGACAGCAGCAGGCTCTGCGTCATTTGGGCGATGGCCTTCTTCACCGTGCCATTCTCCTGGGAGGGGCGGGGGTGGAGAAGGTGCTGGCCTGGGCTGGCGGCAAGACCTGCACCGCGCCGGAGGAACCCATCTCGTCTCCAGGGACGTGTCTAACTTTGAGCCCACGTCCCCTACCCAGACCTGCCATGAGCACTGGGGCCTCTTGACGGCCGAGTGGGACACAGTGTGGGCTCCGCCGAGGCTGCAGGGGAGGGTGAGTCCACAGCCGTCCGGAGGAGAAGGGAGCTGAAGGCCAGGGCTAGGCTTCTGGGTGGCGGCCGGCTGAGCTACTTCTCGTGGCCTTTCCACCGCAGGAGGGGCCCACGGTAGGGACGAGGGACTCCAGAAGGGCTCCCTCCAGGGCTAGGAGCCTTCCTGCCCTGGCTGGGAGCAGCCCTGGCCCTGCCCCACTCTCCCTGGGCTTTGAGCCCTCAGGAAGGCAGAAGGTGCTGAGCACACGGAGCCCAGGCTCCCGCGATGGGGGCTGGCGGCAGGACCAACCTCTCTGGAGGGCCCGTCTCAACGCTGCAGACCAAGCGGGAGCTGGGAGCCGGAAAAGGTGGACAAGGCCTCTCGCTAGGCCCCCACTCCACCCACCCAAAGAGCGGGAGAAGGTGGGGCCTGGGATCACCCCGCTCGGGCCACAGGGTCTCCCGCGTGCGCAGGATGCCGAGGGCAAGTCTGGCCGGTTGCTGGCCAGCTGAGCCGCCCTCACAGGACTGAGGGGCAGATGGAGCCACCCAGCAGTCCTCTTGGGAGAGTGACAGCAAAGTGGACCACATACAGAGCTGTCTCTGAAGACCCACCCCTCCCTCAGACAAGGAACTCTGCCAGGCTCCGAGGAGGACCTCACCTCGTCACACTGTGTGACCCGGTGGGTGATGGCTTTCAGTTCGGCCATGGCCTTCTCGTCCTGGAAGTCGTAGGGGAAGGCCTCTGTCCACTCCTTCAGTAGCTGCACGATCTTGGCTGAGAAGGACTTCAGCCTGGCCTGGGGCGGGGTGCGGGGGGTCGGGGGATCGGGGGATAAAGCAAGGTCTGACCCTCCAGAGTGGGCAACAAGATGACAAGCGGTACAAGCACACCCCAGTTCTGCAACACCCTCTGACCCATTCCCCCACAGGACCTGTGTCCTCTGCCCCAACGCTGGGGTGAGGGCTGCTGGGTAGGGACATCCTCCACCCTGTCCACCTGCGGTTTTATCATTCCT